TGATGGATGGATGAAGATGGATGGACAGATGTATGATGGATGTGATGAATGGAGGATGGACAATAATGGATGGACAGATGTATGAAAAATTCTGGGCTCAGCTGGTACAGATGGATGATGTATGGTTGGATGAATGGAGGATGATAGATGGATGATGACTGATGATGGACAGATGTATGATGGATGTTTGATGGGACAGATGGATGGAAGATTATGGGCTCAGCTGGTACGGAGACCAAACAACCCACAGATCCAAACGGACCAATCAGGAGGCTCCATACACACAAACAGGTAGGGCTGGATATCATTCAAAAATTTTTAATACCTGTACCGGTACCTTCACTTCGATGTTGGTTCCTGAACGGTACTTTTCCCGGTGCCAGTTTTATAATTAATATAAATTCTAACATGAAGAAAATTACGTTACAGATTACAGTACAAAGCTTGAGTTTTTTTTTTTTTTACTTTGTTATTTTTACATTCCAAACAGTTTTCTTACATAAAAAATAATTCCCAGGTCAAAAGAACAGTTGTAAACCAGTGACACGTCAGTGTGTAACGCTCAACGCTACACACTTTTCACTTAACAGTTTTTCTTCAGAAAAATCAACATGTCTGCTTTCTCTGGACACAAACAAGCCCGCTCGTGGCTGATGGTGTCCCCAGGAGTAGAAAATGTTCGCTCTGAGGGTGTGGATGATGCTTGCACACACAGATACCTGGTTGCCAAGTCCGATAGCATTGGCATGGTGTCCCTTGCATTCCACCACCAGGTCACTGGATTCACAGAGGTTCGGGTTGATGGCAGACTTCTGTACCACTTTATCTCTTCCTGAATCTTCTCTGTGGTGCTAAAAGTGTTCTCTTGTTTTATTTCAACTGCCATGTCCTCTTCAGCAAACAGCTCCCCAAGACCAGAGAGCTTTGGCTTCTTCTGGAAACAGAAGGAGGAAAAATAAAGACAATCAGAATAGATGCCAACAAGAAGGTTTTGTTTTGAAAATGCAATGGGGGTAGGGGGGGTCAGAACACGGTGTCTTTGTATACTTTTATTTTTACCAGTGTTGCTACTGCAGCTGTAGCGTCTTCATCAGACCAGTCCTGATCACCAGCTGTCTCTTCAAGCTCCTGTTTGATCTGCTGGGCCAGGATCATCCTTACACCTTTATTCTATGTTCAGTAGATTATGTGAGTCGTATAAACTGATCTACAATGGAAGAGGAATAAAATATTATCAACAATAAATACACACCTGTTGTGAGGTCCTACTTATCAGCTCCTCTTCTAGCCTGGTCCACACTTCATCGGCCACTTTTGTCTTGAATCTTGGATCTAAGGCTGTGCCCTCCTCCAAGAACTGCCTGATGATCTCATCCTGCAAAAAAAAAAAAAAAAAAACATAGTATAGTTAGGTCTGTCGCGATGATAAATTTTGCTGGGCGATTAATTGTCTCAGAAATTATAGCGATAAACGATAATATTGTTTGAAATTTGACAATAATTAGTAATTGTCAAATTTAATTAGAAATGTTTGCCAATTTGTTTTGCATGTAGTACTTTTCCCCACCACCGGATGGCAGTATAAGACAGTTTGAACCAAAGGATGGATAGTGAGGGAGCAAGCAGCGTTGTCTAAGGAAAATGGGAGGGAGGCCCTTTGACGTGACGTGGGCTGTCTCCTTCCTTTCTTTGGTTCTCAAAATGGTGGATGCTCTGTGTGGTTTGAGCTCTTTAGCATAGCATTTTTCACAAAAACCTTTTAATAATTTTTTTTTAAAAATCAGTAAACAAGTTCTCAGCTTCTTTTTGCAGAGAAAAACGATGCTTTATACGAAGGCACGAGTTTCATGGGCTTCGACAAGATGGAGGTTTTTCCCCCGAGGTTGGCCTGTTAGCTTAGCTCGTAGCTTAGCTTCTCAGCTTAGCTGCTTTTAACAATCCAAAAACGCGATTTTGGACAGTTAAAATGGATTTTAAAGCAAAAAGAGAAAAGGAAGGGTCAGTGAAGAGCACCGGAGTTGAACCTTGTCATCCAGTGTCCAGCAGAAAGAGACACGAAGAAATGATAAAGCCGATAAATGAAAATGAGGTTGATAATTTTCATTTAATATGAAATTAACTGATTTATTGTTTATTGTGACAGGCCTAAGTATAGTAGTCATGATGTCTCAGTATATCTAATGAAAACAAGAGAAATCTACAGGATTATTTATGCTACATACTTGGTATCTTTTTGAGAGGTCACCCCAAATCTTGTCCTTGATGGTCTGTGTAAAGGAGGAGTCCTCATCAGTAACTGTGAAGTGAAGTTGGAGTTTCCCCAAGATGGGCAGAATCTGGCCCAGAGTTGGACTCTTTTCAGCAGAGACGCAGATGGTTGAAGAATAGAGCATCTTCATAACTCTGACAAACTGTTCTGCTTTTCTATAATCATCATCAGAAAGTCTCTCCAGGCTGAAAAAAATGGACACGTTGTATTAGCTAGACCAAAAACAACTGGACTTTTGTTTTGTAGAAAACGTTTCGCTTCTCAATTAAAAGAATGGAGAGTGTGAGGTTCAAGTTATGAAGCGGAGCTAACTACCGTATTTTCCACTGTACATATTGCAACCCCCCCCCCCCCCCAATAAGTCCAAATATGTCTAATGAAGTGGAAAAATCCATAAATATGTTGCTTCACCGTATGCGTCGCATCTATTATGCATCACTGCTGACGCGTCGCATTTGTTACGAGTCACCGCTGACAACCCGGAAATGTGGGCCGGTGTTGTGCCAAAAATCAATGGGCTGCCAAATATTGGCCGCGGGAGCGTGCACGGGAAGACTAACAATTTAACAAGATTAACACCTAAAAACATTTATTAGTTTGTTCGACATTATAGTAAAAGGTGTGTCTCAGTCTAACTTTTGCTTAATAAATGCACTTGAGTGGTCAAATCAGCAGCATTTTCAAAAGCTGACGCGCGAAAACATGAACGAAAGAGGGCGACTCGCTGTCCATTTCTTCGAAATTTAACACGATAACCACCTAAAAGCAATTACTTTTAGCTCGACTTTATAATAAAGATGCGTCTCAGTTGAACTTTTACTTAATAAATGCACTTTGACAGTTAAATCAGCTGCATTTCGCCGGGGCAGCACAGTGAAATGAAGCGGATTCGGTTGCTCCAGGCAGATGACGGTGGGAGCCTAGGGCAAGCTGATTGTGTCATTAATAGCCACTTTTACCCATTACATGACACAACGGCAAGCCACACTACTCGAGTGCCATCTATAGCTGGTGAAAATGGTAGTGTTCAATTTTTTCAGTCAGAATGAATGAAAATGGTCATATCTCAGTCAAAAATTGGTTTATAAATATGTTGCTTCAGCATACAAATCATAGGGCATGCAAATTATGCAAAAAAAAAAAACGACTTATAGGGTGAAAAATATGGTAATCTCTAATTACCCCATCACTAGGGGGTTTGTCTGGAGTCTTTTGTTAGTCTGAGACACACTGGAGCCACTCTGGTGAGTGACACATGGCTGAAATTCCTGATAGATGTGAAAATGAGGTGAAGGAAGCCGTTTATGTAAAAACAGAGAAACCATCTTTTTACATCAACCACCTCCTTCACCTCATTTTCACACCTATCAGGAATTTCAGCCACGTGTCACTCACCAGAGTGGCTCCTGTGTGTCTCAGACTAACAAAAGACCCCAAACGAACCCCTAGTGATAAGACAATCTATTAAAGCTCAGCTTCAACTAGAACCCCACACTCTCCATTCTTTGAATTGAGAAAGCTCCTCTGATAAGAAGCAAAACGTATTTTACAAATAAAGTTCAGAACTTTTTTAAATTCACATTGGTAAAGAAATAAGGCAATATCAATGTCCACTGTCCAAATACCCGTCCTTCTCCATCGTTTCTTTTAACCGAGGGTCCATGGAGGCCGCCTGGATCGCAGGAAACTGCTCCAGAAATCGCTCCACCATCAGGAACAGGCTGTTCCACCGGTTCTCCACATCTAAAACGACATCATGTTCTGGAAGACCTAGAGACAGACAGCGTGTGCGTGGTTGTCAAACTAGTGGTGTATTTGTAGTAATAGTTCAATAATTGATTTAGCCATATAATTTTGCAGTTTAGTCCACTTTTAGAGTTCTCCTAACCGAGAAGACGCTGCTTGTCTTTAAGGACAGGCTCAGCCAAGCTGCACCGCTTTAACCACAACACCATAGCTCGGATTCTACCTGCCCACTTTGAGACGAGAGGTATCCACCTTATTCTGCAAGAGCGTATGTGGGCTGCCATGACAGACAGGTACCGCCCCTTCCCGGTTTTATACTTCCGGTGAGCTAAAGCGAGAGGCACTTTTGCTAATGACAGGCACTTTTGCTAATGACAAATTCTAGTAATTTGTGCTGTAGCAGGAGGCTTAAACAATTCTAATATGAGTTCGGGTTCAACTTGTGCTGTTGTTGGCTGTCACAACAGCTCCAGAAAACTGAAAGACGAGCTAGAAACGTATTGTTTTGCACATCAACAACTTCGAAAGGCCTGTGTGTGCCCAGCGCGTTACGAACTGCACTCCATGCCGAGGAAGGAGGATCGAAAACGAGCGTGGCTGGCAGCTTTAAAACTCAAATACCCCCCGAAGAGAGTTTATGTTTGCTCCTTTCATTTTATTGATAAAAAGCCCACAGAGCTTCACCCCGACCCGGAGCTCTATCTGGGCTATGACCGGGCCCCACCAAAGAAAAGAAGGCAGCTCATCCGGACCACTGTGAGCCAGACAGCTTCCAGCAACATCGACAAAACGGCCGAATCTGTTCCCGGTGAGTGAAATTGAAAATGTGATTTGTCCCCGCTTCACATTTTAATCATGCTTAGCTCTTATCTTTTACTGAATTATATTATTATTAATGTTATAATTGTAATGTTATAATTACTATACTGTGGATGGTGTTAGCATCAGCGCTAGCTGGTTGCAGTGTTATTGTGGATGTTAGTGTATTATTAATTTAATTCCAAAATACTTTATCACTAAGAGAAAGTACTTGATTGGCAGCCAAATCCAAATCTTAAAGACAAAGTGGTTAGTAATTAACATCAGTAGCATGCTAGCAGAGATGTATATGATTTCATGTAACTGTCCGAGAATAGCTTTTTATTTAGCAACCTGGTAAAATTCAGCCCCCAGGGCTGTAAAAGTCTTGGGATTTTGTTAATAAAGAATATGTTGAGTTATTAGAGGCAGGTTATTTGAAACAGACACAGCTGAAAAAAAAACTTATTTTAAACTCTTTAAAGAAAAAGCTTAAATGCAACCTAGCTCCAACTGATTTTTTTAAGGATGAAAAACTAAAATCTAATCACAATATTTTGATATTATAGCATAACTTGATGGGGCTTAGGAAAATTTAAGGGGGCTAAAGCCCCACTAAAACAGCACTATTGACATTTAAGATGTATCATGTGTGTACGAGTGTGGAATTACAAATTTCCTTCCTAAAACGTAATAAGGTAAGTGACACTTGACAGGTTGTGTTACGCTGATTTGATTTTGTATTTTTGTGTTATTCAGAGTGCACCGTAGATTCACCGTCAGTCATCCCAGACCTGGCTAGCGTCTCCACACAACCTCCTGGGCCACATCTGCACTCAGTCCACACACAGTGGGAGGACCCTTCGCTAAAAGATCATCATCAATACTGCAACACGTCTGGCAGAAAAGATGTCCAGGACAAGACGACTCAGTGTGATGAAGTTGCATTTTTTCTTCTACAAAATGACGCAGACGCTTTGCTGTACACTGGTATAGCGTTAGAAACATTTAACACTCTTGTGTCAGCACTGGAAGGAGATGACAACAATGAATTTACAATGCCTGTACAAGATCAAGTCCTTATAACACTTATGAAAATAAAGACTAATCGTGTCTGCAGCCCTTGAGTTGATGTTATACTGCTGCTCTGCCTTGTGGTGTCTGAAGTTTATCATGCTTAGACGTTTGGGTTGAAGATTCTTTGCTGTCCCAGCATTCCACCTGCGCTGCTCATCTGTACATGCTAGCCCCGTCTTTCCACTGATCACAGCATTCTGGACCTGTAACAATTTAACAGACTTCAGCTATCACTGCTCCTAATAAAATGAAACAAGTTATTTACATCCCTGCTGTTGTCATTTATTTTTTCCTTTTCTGTAAATGTTAGGTTGCCTTGCATCCAGTCTGTACTTTTTTAAAAACAAATAATATAAAAATACTGTACAGCCTTTTTAATGTTTAATTTTTTGTGACAGTAGATCACAGGCTGCACAATGCTCTGGCTTCCACATGTAAACACAGGCAGACAGGAAGCTCACAGCTTTCGCCCAGTTCAGTGATTCTGATTCAGTGATGTAAATATTCTGATATCCAGATAAGTGATATACCTTCCACAGAATAGCTGCCGCATGACTGCATGATTTTCCCAATCCGGCGATACAGGAACAGCCGACCGTTTCTACCACTCCACTTTCTCTGAGCATGACCCATGCTAAGTGTTTAGCTTGACCAACGCTCTGGCTCGGCTCAACAGCTGCTTTCAGAAAGATAAAGTCGCCTTGTTTCATGAGCAAAACTGTATCTATTTTGTTGCTGTGGAGGTAATTATACGCCTCTGTGCTTTTATAATTCCGCAATTCCTCGCCATCGACGCCTTCAGAAAAAACAAGGTAATTAATAATATTGATGTAGGTAATTCCGGGCCATGATTTCATATCATCTACCCAGTCCGTGAGAAATGATGGGTGAGACACAGTTAACGACTTATCTTCGCAGCTTTTTAAAACATCCTTGCAATGTATCCACCTCTGATGTGCTGCCATTTACTTCAGGTAAAGGAAACTTTTGTGTCAAAAACATTAAATTGCTAGCAAGTGTGTTAACCCACAAACGTAAACAACAGCGCGGGATCGCGGGCGGAAGTAAACAACCGGCTTCCGCTATGAATTATGGGTAGTGGCGCCAAATCCGGAATAAGGTGGATAGTGTACAGCTTTTGAGCAGCAATGTTTAGAGCATGAGCAAAGCAGCCAATTTTTCTAATGCTCATCTTTTTCACCGCTACATCCATATTAGCTGCATTGTCTACAGTGATCGCAACAACTTTTTCCATTATATTGAATTCATCAAGAATATCCCCTATCTCCTCAGCTATCACATGCCCCGTCTGTGATGTGTAGACTGCCCTGGTGTGCAGGATTTTCTCGTTCATGGTATCCTCTCTCACAAAGTGGACTGAAACAGTCAAGTAATGGTCTTGTGCCACACTGGTCCATCCATCCGCGGTCACGGCCACATCTTTGACGTCTTCCAATTCTCTCTTGACATTTTCCTTCTCTACTGCATACCATGCTGGTAAGAGTGTATTCGACAGCATGTCTCTGCTGGGGGACTGATACATGGGGTTTAGGACTCTTATCAGCTCCCTAATTGACACAGAACACAAAACATAAAGAATAACATGGTTGTGTTATTATTGCTCAAAAACCATTATCTAGGCAGAGAGATCTGCTCAACAATATCATTTACAGCTTACTTACCTCCACCATGGAGCCTCCAATGTAGAAACAGGAAGCAAACTTTTAACAACAAAGTTTGTGACTGCCCTGTGCCAGTGGTCCTCATCTCGCTTTTCTGCGGTCAGCTTTCCTTTTTCTGCCAGAGTGAATGGATTCACACTGACTGGCCTTGTCCTCATCACGTCAGGGTCAAAGGCTCCTGTGAGGAGAGCGAGAACGAACATAAACATAACGTGTGGACATTAGATGAACTGTTTAACCAGCCGACCCGATGGATGAGCACATTTTTACAAGCAAAGCTTCATCCGTTACTGTCCATCTATAGTTAAGCTTTTAATTGAGCTAGCTACATAAATAAATCTACACACAAATAATATCTTAAATTAAGAAATTAGTGTGTAGCTTCATTATATTAAAATAAAATAAAGTGTGTAGCTAAACTATGTGTAGCTTTAGTTTATTTTAATGACCACACTTTTTCACTCTACTACTATCTTTACTTACTCTGTTCAACCCGTTTGTATTTGTAATTATTTTTTCTATCCTTAACATGTGTTTTTGTCTTTCAGGTACACCTGGACCTACACCTGGACCTACCATTCTGTGTTCGTTTGTCTCTCCTTCGTGTCCTCTCAAACCAAGCAGATGACTGCTTGTCCTGAGCCTGGTTCTGCTGGAGGTTTCTTCCTTTTAAAAGGGAGTTTTTCCTTTCCACTGTTGCCACTGTGCTCGCTCAGGATGGGAGACTGCAACGAAGCCAAGATTCAACTTGTCTGCTGGATTCTATAGATAGAGAACTTTACTAAATTGTCTTTTATGTATGTGAATGTTCCTGTAAAGTGCCCTGAGATAACTTTGTTGTTCTTTGGCGCTATATAAATAAACTGAATTGAATATGGATCCTAGTTTAACTCACCTCGCGATGCACGTATTAAGTTACAGTGACGTTAACAAACGTAAAGTTATCCTGATGCATGTTCAATAATCCAGGTAGAAAAATCTAAAAAAAAGTAACGTAAGGTACATAAGTAATCTAAAAAAAAAAAAAAAAACGTAAACGTACCAGCTGAAATCCCGGAAACAGAGCTGTCCTCGGTGCTCTCGGATGAAGAGGAGTCCGGTCGTGGAGATGTAGAATCAGACCGTCCAGGATCTGCCACGGGCTGAGAGGAAGATGGCTGCGGTCCGCTCTTCTTCGAGTCAAACACGGAGCTACTTTCCGCTCGTAAATCGATTCCGTGCACGATCAGGTGCCTCATCAAATTAGTCGTGTTGCCGGTCTTAACAGGGATGTCTTTTTTGCATATGTTGCATCGAGCATTGTTGGCATCAATTTTTCTAAAATGCAGCCACACTTTTGACCTTTGTCGCATTTTTTAAGCGGTTCGACTACACACGTTCACAACACAAACACACGTGAACCATATCTGTGGGCGTAACCACGTGTCACGTTACAGCCAATCACCGATTGACACAGAGAGGCGAGGCTTGTTTTGATACCCAAGTATTTTCTCAATGTTTGGAAGTGTTGCACATATTTTAGCAGAAAATGTGTGAAAAGTCAAATTTCCTTGAATTAGATACAAAATTTATTAGGAATAAAACCTTGATCTTTTTTTTTCTATTTTGAAATTATACATTTGCAAGAAAAACTTGAAAACTTCCAGCACTTTAGCCTTAAAAAAAAAATTAAAAAAAAATAAAAATAATATATATATATATATATATATATATATAAACTCTCATGCTCATAAAAACTGATCAATTAAAAATTTGCTAGGTCAAATGTACAAAAAAAAGTCTGAATATTCTCTAACCTAAAAGTTGTAAATTTCCAGGGAGGGAAAGACAAAAACAAATTAATAATAAAAAATAATACTTGAAATCTATACAAACACAATAAAAGTCAATATTTGTTTCTTCCAACCAACCTGTCACCAACTCATGCCATGATTTATACAGGCTCGTGTTGAAGTTTTTACTTGAAACTACGTTATTTAAGCCGTAAGTTAACTTTTTACCTGTGGACAATAATTATTGTAGCATTTGACAGGCGCTAGAGCTCGTGTGACGTCACTCTTTACACGCATTACTCCGCCCCTTTGTAGGAGCGCATCCTGCGTCGCCGCCATATTGGATGGGTCTCTCCTGGAACACAAAGCGAGCAGCTATGCCTGTATTTTTATTGATTATTGATTTTATTGACTGGTTTACTAATTTATACTTTCAAGAAGCACCCAATAATTTTGCACCCAGTAGATTTTGAGGTGCGCTTTATTTATATTAGATTGTATTGTTTTAGGATTGTATTATTAATTCAACCTTTATATAGACAGGTTAATCCCATTGAGCCTCCAGGACTCATTCACAAGAGAGACCTGATTTCTTACCAAAGAATGACGACAACAATGGATAACAATGACAACAATAGACTGTCATAAAATATGCATACAAATTTAAATTTCTCTCTCCCTTTTTTTTTAACAAATCAAAAACAAAATGGCAACCAAAAGGACAATTAAAGAGGAATAATAGCAAAAAACAAACAAAAAAACCCAAATAAAAAAAAACAGCTGGATTATAAAGCGATTTAGAAAACTAAAAAAACTACAAATGGGAACATTTCTGCATTGGTTTTTGCCAGGAACTTAAGAGTTTTAAAGTTACTTGGAGAGGTCGAGGTCTTTCAGAGCCATTAGAGCCATTGCTATCTCTGTAACAATAATATATATATATATGTAACAGTTGTGTAACCTGTCCTGTTATAAACACTCTCAGAGGCCAGTGGGTTGGATGAGGTAGCACTTTACTGTAAATGAGTGGTTCAGAGTGTAAACATAGTGTGGTCAGCTCCTCTACTGGCACAAATATCACAGCAGAGCCTTAGGAAGACTGTGTTAGTATTTTAAATATCTGTTACAATGACATATAACAATATTCTTTTTAACATTTGATCGTATAATGGTTTTAGAATTAATGTTTTACAATAAATCTAATACAATCTGCCATCCATTTTTTTCAATGAAATAAGAAATTAGAAAAATCAAAAAAGTCCATGCTCAATAATCCAGGTATGCAATCCAACAATTTTCAGTCATGTCATCTGGACAGTTTCTTTTTTTTTTTTTTTTTTTTGCTGAAACGTTTCACCTTCCATCTGGAAGGCTTTTTCCTACTGTTTCCTTGACCGATTGGTTTCTCTGGGGTGCTACAGTATTAATAAAGCTGTAATAGGTCGTGTAGTTTAACAATGCAAGGTTTGAGAATAAAATGTGTCAAGTTTTTCGAGTGAAATCCGCGCAATCAACCGTCAAAACAACAACAACCGGAAGTAGTAGTAGTAGTCGGCTTCAGCTACGCAGTTTTTGTGGGCTAGGGCAGAGTTACGTTATTTGTTCCATTCTCTAAAGGACAGACGCACAGAAGTGACGTCATCTAAGTTGTTGCCTGCGGTCGGTACGCCAACATCGTCTCTGCTCACGCATCTGTCAGAGGACATTTAAATGGCGTCTCAGCAGTGTTGCGTAGCTCCGTAAAAACTGTTATTCGTACAACCAGCGTCCCAGTTAGTGTTCGGCTCAATCTCTCTGCCCCCAAACCGCAGTTTATCCTTCCCAATAGTTCGCAAAGTCACAAAAGATAAAAATAATGAGCGACGAGGAGGACCTCTTGCAGAAAGTCCGAACCAGGTTCGATGATCTGTGCCGAGTCCTGAACATGGACGAGGAGGCGAGTACCGAGGCGTGGAAGAGCTACGAGAACATCAGCAGGACCTTCACCCTGGAGGTAAGTCCACTCTCTTGTCTAATCCGCGTGGTTCTGCCAGCGGTGTGTGCTCACTCTTCACCCCGGACATCGGTGTTCCTCCTCCGGCAAGAGGGGCTTTGCGCTGTCCGCGGCTTCAGCAGGCGGAACCAACCGGTCATCACATGGACCTGCTCACCTGGAAGAGACCAGTTCAGTTCCTGCTTCTGTCCCAATTCATCCACCTGAACCAGCCAGACCCCAGACCGGGTCTGCGCACAGAACGAAGCTGAACTGGAGGGACCAGGAGACACAGAACCAGTTTAAACCCCAGTTTCAGATCAGAGATACAGATGTTCTGAGCAGTTCAGAGTCAACCATTCAGAACTTGAACCCATCACAGCTGGACTGAAACAGAAGGTTTATGTTTTAGACCAGGTCCAGATAGACTTACCAGATCTGGACTTTCAAAGTCCTCAGATAAATAACGTTATTAACTTAATTTTTATGTATGTGAATGTTTGTGTACAGTGCCCTGAAATGACTTTTGTTGTGACTGGGTGCGATAAAAATTGAATCGAATTGAAAAATGTAAGAACAGTTTCAATTCAATTCAGTTTATTTCTAAAGCTCCAAGTCCCAACAGAAGTTATATATATATATATATATATATATATATATATATATATATATATATAAGGAAGATTGTGTTGAATCTTCACTTCATCACAGTCTCCCATCCTGAGCAAGCACAAAGGCAACAGTGGAAAGGAAAAACTCCCTTTTAACAGAAAGAAACCTCCAGCAGAACCAGGCTCGGGCTGATCGGCCATCTGCTTCGACCAGCTGAGGTTTAAGAGGACAGGAAGGAGAAACAGACAAACACAGAATGACAGGTCCGAGTGTAGTACATGTTTTTATTATTAGGATGAAACATGAAAAGCTCACATCAGAACAGATTGTCATCAAAGGCCTAATGTTCCTTGAAGGAATGCATATCGCCCGCCGCCTTTCATGCTAGAGTTTTAGTCTGAGATGATGGAAATGCAGCTGTTTTCATCAAACCTTGAACGTCATGTGACATAAGATCTGAACAGTATGTGTTCGGTATCAGTCTTGGATACTACCATGCCAAGTCTCGGCTCAGTTTCTGTGAAACTAATTTGTAGCCATTGTTGTGCTTTCTAAGGTCAGCTGGATGTGTTAGCATCCTGAAATAGGTTTAAAATGTAATCACGTTAAATGTATTCATTGATTATTCCCTGAAACGTTCAATAAAAATCTACTGGTAGTTCATAAGAAATTTTGCTAACAGTCAACACAAACCAAATCAGACTGACAGAAGTCCTCCTGTTGGTCTCCTCTCTCTCTGGGTGCAGGGCAGTGAGCTGCACTGGTTGGCCTGCGCCCTGTACATGGCCTACAGGTCCTCGGTGCCCACAGTGGGGAAAGGGATCGCTGAGGGGAACTACGTGTCGCTGACCAGAATCCTGCACTGCTCAGAAATCAGGTTTGTTTCATAACTAATGTAGAAATCCAGTACGAGTGATTCTCCTGCTGTCTGCTGCAACGCTTTCCTCCCATCGACTTTAACAAAGATGGCTGAAGGGTTGTTCAGAACTGAAGCCGAAATGTTCGTTGTTTGTGATGTGTGTTTTATTTTTAAAGCCAGAGTCTGCTCTCTCAGGCTGTGGGGCTCTAGCATCAAAACAAAAGTCCTGCTGATACACCCTCCTTACTCGCTAACAAGCATATGACACTTTCCTTTAAGTCTAATTGTAGACTAAAAGATAGTCTTAACCAGAAAAATTACATTTTCTGTGAAAATATAGTGTGAATGCATGGGTGACTGCTGAAATTTGCCACTTAAGCTGAAACTGTGCTAAATGTTAAATGTAGGAAGATGCTAGCTAAATGTTAAAAATAGAAAAAACACTAGTTACTGTAGCAAAAATAAAAAAAATAGAGAACTGTGTATTCCTAAATTAAAAAAATGTCTCAACAGTAGCTAAATAAGTAGCTAAAACCTAAAAGTAGCAAATAGGCAGCTAATCTCAAAAGTAGCAAAAAACTAGCTAAATGCTAAAAGTAACAAAAAGCTAGCTAAAAGTATCAAAAGGTTATCTAAAATCACAAAAAAATTGAAGGAAGAAAGTGTTATTGTCATCATTGTATGTTTCTATACAATGTTGAAATTTGTGCTCTACATTTAACTCGTCACATGTGAGATACACCCAAGTGGAGCAGCGGGAAACTATGTAAGCACCCGTTGAGCTGTTAGGGATTAAGTGCCTTGCTCAAGGACACCACAACATGTGGACATAGCGGAGAGTTGAAATTGACATTCTGGTCCCAAGTCACATCACAAGTTACATCACAGCTGCCCTTAAAAATATAGCATTGACAATAGCAGTATTAAAATGAACAGTAGTAGAATTAGCATTAGCAGAATTGGTTAGTAAAATTAGCATCAACAGTACTGTTGTTATTAGTAGAGGAATTGGTATTAGCAGTGCTAGTATTAGCTGTAGGAGAATTAGCATGTACTACCATTAGCAATTCTAGTATTAGCAGAAGTATGAAGCAGGTTTTAAATAGAAAACTGTTTTTTAAGGGTTTAAAGATTGACTGGAAAAATGTTTGTGAAAAAGGTAAATATTTACGAAAGTATGAAAATTAATCAACTGATTCACCGTGCAGCCCACTTTAATAATAATAATAATAATAATAATGTCATCACATATGAATGATTAAAAAAAAAGAACAAAGAGTCTGGAAGAAGTTAAATGCCAATAAACATATGAAAAAAAAATGGAGGAAAAAAAAATTGTGTGAGTGCTGACTCAGCAAAATTTGAATAGTATTTTCATTTTTTAGACAGAAATGTTATCAGTTTATATGGAGGGGCGGAGCTTCTAGGGGCACCTGTTCATTGTGGCTTCAACTTCCAGGTTCCAGTTGTGTGTTTAGTTCTGATGAATCTCGTTGCTTCCAGCCTGATCGAGTTCTTCAACAAGCTGAAGAAGTGGCAGGACATGGCCAACCTGCGGCAGGACTTCCGTCAGAGTACCGACAAGCTGGAGAGAGATTTCACCGTGTCGGCCGTCATCTTCAGGAAATACGTCCCCATCTTCAGGTCCATCTTCAAGGCCCCGACGGAGGAGCCGCCACGCGTCTACCGCAGCCGCAAACAGAGGTGGGACCGTGTGAGCTCTGCTGCATGTTACTGTATATTTAAACCTTATTCTGAGTAATTCCAAAACATAAAACTTTTGATCAAAACATTATTTATCAAAGAGTATCAGTCATTTATCACATTGCTAGAAAGTTATTTTCAACCAGAAAGACAAATAAAATCCACTTTACAGTCCATTTCATTTTACCATTAAAACAAATGTGAAAAACAACTTTGATTTCAAACTTTTAACATAAAAGCAATTTACAGTAAGGTTGGTGTTTTTTCTGTGTCTTCACAGCTAATTATCATGAAGGGCTACAATTGAGATTGTTTTAACACTGACTGCCAAAATTAAAGGATTAAGAGTGCAAGGATTAATCACAGACATTTCAGATGAACTAAGGAAAATAAACAGACATTGTTAAAAAAGTTTTAGTTCGATATAATAACCAGTAAATAAATTGCAGTTTAATTGCAGCTTGTGTTTTCTGGGTGGAAAGGCTCCCACATACTCAGGTGTACTGTGTATACTCTGTGAGCTGCGTGGACGCTGCTCTCTGTCCACAGACGGTTGAGGCTTCGTACTCGAGCGTACGCCCTGATGGGCTGCAGCTCAGCTCTGCAGGCAAGGGGCGTTTACCTTCGGGACAAATTCAGGTCGCAAATTGGTCATTCGTTGGCACGCCTACTGTATTGATTGACAGGTCGCAGCCAAGGAGCAACAGTGTTCTGTGTTTATATGTTGTTAATAAAAAGTTCAAAAAAATAAAATAAATTAAAAAGCCATTAAACCAGACCAGGGATGAAGAAGGGGAATTTAATACATTGGTGTCGCATACAAAACAGTCCGTCGCCGGGCAGTTTATTGTGCGACACAGAGTACGCGTACGCTGTCGGACATGGCTTGCGGGCGTCTGCTTCAAGTCTAATCTGGTACGTGTGGACCTCTGCGGAGTGAAGTACATCTGAGTATGTGGGAGCCTGAAGGAGTTCCTTCAAAGCTCGTGTAGATGTGATAATTAAGTTCTGTCTGTTTTGGGGGAAGAGCATCAGTGGGGTTCCTTGCTGTATGCACCTTTTGGTTTTTTTGAAACTGATAAGACTCCCTCGGCGTCTCCGCGTCACCCTTCAACTAGGGATGAAGGTGTTTTTGAAACAGGAACTTAATTACCATTTAAGCCAGAGGGGGTCTTCACCATTGTGAGTAGTTGAAAACCAAAGGATACTGGCAGTTTTCTGGTGTGTGTGTGTGTGGGGGGGGGGGGGGGGGGGAGATTAATGTTTTAAAGCAGCCAAAAAAATGTCTCTTAGGACACTATATTCTACAATTATGTAAACTGTCTTCAAAAGTTTAAACTTAAAAAAAGATAAGTTACTTTGGTTTTCTCTAAAAGTTTAAATTCAAGTTGTGTTTATGTTAGGAAAATGAAGAATAATCATTTTGATGTGCTAAATTATTTGTGAAATAAAGCCTTAGTTAAACAGTTTTTTGTGATTTTCTTTAACAATTGAGCTGTCTTCTGTCTTAGAACGGCTCAGTTTATTGTCATTAATTGTTAAAAATATAAATTTACTGATGCAAAGTTCAATATTTATCTGGTTTAGAGGATAAGTTACGGATTTAACCGTCGTCTTGTTTGGTTTATTGCACTTCCTGTTTGTAATCTGATAAGTGTTATTTGTGGAGTACTCTCCTGCCTCTACAACTCCTAACGCGTGCGTCTGCTTTAATTATCGAGCTCCTACCTCATTCTGTCGTGTAATTTTATTTTGTTCTTTTGATTTTCCTGCTGTTATTGGTTGATCAACATTACATTGTTCAAACTTTGATTTTAGAGATAAACACTGTAACAAATACTTAAATTAATAAACAGGCTTAATCACACGAGTCCATGTTTGGCTTTTGGAAACTGCTCTGCTTTTATTGTGAAGACCACTGTTTTTCTATCAACGTTTATTACAAACCAAAATGTAAAATAACTGAAGCATTTTAATTAATTGACTATTTAAAATTAACACTGTCCTCAGAGGTTTTTGCATGTCTGCAGGTGAAATAAAAAGAAAGAAGTTATTTTGCCCTGCACCTGAAGGTGTTTAAGGAGAACCTTCTAGGATTTTATCAGTTTTTTTTTTTTTTTTGTAGCACAATCTATGGTTTTACGAGAAAACGTTTAGTTCCACAGATCTGATCGTTTCTTTGAGACAAACACAAAGAACTATCAATTTTATTAAAATATCCTTTGTTTGTGTTTCATAGACGCCATCCGTGTACCGTGAGTGAAGTCTTCAACTTCTGCTGGGTGCTGTACATCAGCACTAAAGGTAAACAGTTCCTGTGTGAAGTTTGGCAGCAAACATGCGATTTGTCGTAGTTTTCATCAGGAGAAGAGACAGAGACGAGTCTGAGCGCATCACCAGCTCAGTCTGCAGACGTGAGTCGTCCCTCATGCGGTTGTCATGTTTCCTGCTCAGGAAACTTCCCGATGATCAGCGATGACCTGGTGAACTCATACCACCTACTGCTGTGCTCCCTGGACCTCGTCCTCACAAATGCCTTGCTCTGCAACGCCCGGAAAGACCTGCTCAACCCCAGCTTCAAAGGTACGGAACACTCTCAGTGGACCCTTTGAAGGAGGATGCTCCCGGCTCCCACCGGCGCCGTTCGCTCCTCAATCACTGTTCAGACATCTCAGGATGTTCCCATCTATTGGGGAGAGTTGTACCTTCTCACAGGGGGACGATTCAGTCACTTCGGTTCACTTGGAGACACAAAACAATTAGTAAAAATTAGCCTCAAAGCTTTAAAATAAGAAGATGTCAGGAGGAAACAAGAAGCGTTAAAACTTTGTAAGTCAGATCAATGACAGAAAATATTTAGAGATTAAGTTGTACAGGAAACTAGAAACTGCAGAAATGTTGCAGGCTGCTGACGCTGCGCCCGCTTGAATTCCAACATTTATCAACTTCTGTAATTCAGGATTTCCTTTTCACAGTAATGGAAGCTGACAAAATGGCTGACGTTTTGTTGTATAAACTGTAGAAGAAGAGTAAATATTATCCAGATCAAACCGATGTGAAGCTGCTGCCAGCGGCTTTTTGGGGACACCATGGTAACGACAGTCCCTGACAGGACTCGGACACAGATAGTTCAGGCAACTGATGGTGCTGATGGGGCTGGATGTATCAGTCTGCTGGGAGCTCAGTGAACTAAATGCTCTGATCAGACAGACTGATACATTCAGCAGCCTCAGCACCATCGGCTGATGGTCAGCACACGGACAACCACCTATAAACAAACAGCATCAATTTGCTAATGTAACATTCTTTCACATTGGTGTTTCATTTTTGGAAAAAAAAAAAGTTGTTTGAAAAGCTTCAAAACAGTTTTAAAATGGGCTATAGCCGTTAGCCTAGCCTGGATGAAGGCCTCTGCCATTTTTTCCAAACCTGGTGCTCTGTGACTGATGTCACAGCTGATATCTATTGATAATCTTTAGACTGAACATCACTTCAAAAATGACCAGACTATCCCTTTAAGTCTCAACCTAAACAGTCACTGTGTGAAAACTAAGCCACATGCAAAAAAAATGAAAATTAACCGCGAAGGCTCGAATTGTCACACGTGTTAATTTGAATGTTTTTACTGTGTTTTATAGACGTACTATTATTAATACTTAGTCTTACTATTTTATAGAAGCTAGAAAGTCTTCACTTCCAAATATACAAAGAAAATGCTGAGCTTGGATACAATGAAAGTCAATGAGGGTTTGGGTGTGTGACCTCTGACCTCTGGAGGGATTTGATAGAAACTGTAGAAAAGTATAAATTGTGGGAGAAAGAAGTTTGTTTACGACAGTTTTGTTAATCCTTTTACTGCTCACTAAAAACTAAATGCTGTTGTCTATCAAGACATTTTTAACCCTTTTTTTTGTCATTATCGTAAAATGTAATAATATCAAAAGTCAGAGCGCACAATTCCTGATTGAGTCGCACGTTTTGATGTACCGTATATTTCTGAGACTTTTCAAAGCTGCAGTAAAAGTAGCAAACTGAAACTCATGACAGAAGCAGAAGCATAATGTCCTAAAAGTAATGGTGCTTTAATTCTTAGATGTTTGATGAATGAATGGAAATGCATGTCAAAACATTTTCTTTATAAAATTATAAACAAGTGCATATAAATATGTAAGTTCATTAGTTTGTTTCCGTCTGATGTGGATCGACCTGCCACCGTCGTTGGTCTCAAAGGTCTCAGAGTTCAGAACGTTTTTCTCTCCCAGGTATTATTTACAACACAGAACGTTTATAAAGTGAAATCTGCACTTCAGTAAAGGAAGTCTGCTTATCAGTCGTGTTAACGTGAAATAAATCTTAAAAAGGTGCCGGCCGGCTCACGGAAACCCAGCAGCAGTATTTGTCAGCCCTCCCTGTTGACTCTGGTGCTTCCTGACCCACCTCCCTCTCTGAGCAAGGTGTTTGCTTGAACCTGCTGAGAGGAAAATATGCCACCATGTGAGGGATGAGTCCAGTTAGGAGCTGCTGTGCATCTTAAGTATTTCACTTTGATTAAATAAATGGGAACATGTTACGTCATTGTGGCACAAAGTTCGATTTACCCGCTAAACTTCTTGTCTGTTCCATGCAGACACAGCTTTATCGTAGTTAGACACCTTTTTTCTGTCTGAATAAGGTCAGAGGTCAAAGTGAAGCAGTTTAACACTTGTTAAATCCAACCTTTAAAGAGTTTAGAAAGTTCTTATAAAAACGTAAAGCACAATGCTAGAAAATCTGAATAAAAACTATGTCCTGGTTGTTGTGGTCACCTCCGTCCTCCCTCTGTGCCCCACATCCTGCAGGGCTCCCTGAGGACTTCAGCAACAAGGACTTCAGGCCGTCCTCAGGCCCGTTCTGCTTCATCGAGCAGCTGTGCGAGCTGCATGACGGCCTGGTTCTGGAGGCCAAAGGTGTCAAAGAGCACTTCTGGAAACCCTTCATCAAGAAGCTCTTCCATAAGAGAGTCAGTCCTGCCGCCGACCACTCACAGTTAATCCTGTTTGTGCCATCGCTCATGGTTTTCTACTTCCTGTAAATGTTAAATAAGAGCTCTGTGTTCTTCAAAACGCTCAGTTCCTGTTGCAGCCTCACTCGTTGTTGAAGGTTTACGACCAACAGACGTGCAGCTGTGTTTTGAGCAGCTAGTTTAAAAGAAACACTTCCTGTTTCTGAGTTCATGGCTTAAAAAAACTATTCTAGGCTGTGTAGATTATTTCATTGCCCACTTACCCAAACATCGTGCCACCTTCGCCACTTTGGATCCACCGGAAACAAGCAGCTGAACTGAGCTTCCTCTGAAAGGTGTCAGGGCTCAGCCGTAGAGATAAGATGAGAGGAGCTCCATCATCCAGGGGGAGTTTGGAGAGGAGCTACTGCTCCTCCTCATCTAAAGGAGTCAGCTGAGGAGGTTCAGACATCTAGTTAGGACACCTCCTGGGCACCTCCCTTTAGAGGTTTTCTGCACACTGGGAGGAGACACGGGGCAGACTCTGAACTCTGCAGGAACTATTTATCCTCTCTAGTCAGGGAACACCTTGGGCTCTTCCAGGAGGACCTGATGAATGTTCCTGGGGAGAGGGAGGTCTGGGTTTCCATCCTGGACTGGATGGGTGGCCGCGTGGTTGGGTGGTTGGGCGGACGGTCGGTCGGTCAGTATTGATCTTTCCAGTGGCATAACAGGAAGTCTTGAATTGAACTTCTTGTGTGTTTTTGTCTCTTCTCAGATTCTCAGAGGAAAAGAAGACAGCCTGACTGGTTTTTTGGATCCCATGAACTTTGGGGACAGTTTGTGAGTGTTTTGGTTCAGAACCACAGATTTGGACTTTAATTCTGATAAAGTTCTGAATGATCTGATCTCCTTTCAGCCTGTCGCTCAGTCGTCTTTATGAGGAGCAAGTTTTGGCCACGGGCAGCCTGGATGAGAGGATCTTCACTGGGGAGGGAGCTAGTGAAGACATCGGGACGCCGTGGCCCTGCCTCGGTGAGGGCATGGAGAACCAGGACAGCACCACCCACAGGCTGGACACCAACCTCTCTGTAAGACTCACTTCCTGTTCAATCTTTCTTCTTCTCCTACTGTCCTAACACGTCTCTGGTCTCGCTAGGCCTCGGCTTTGAAGGTCTCGACTCCTCTGAGTGGGAGGAAGTACATCCAGGAGACCCGCCTGGCATCTCCGCTCTCAACTGCTATGAAGAGTGTTGGACGACTTCACACGCTCCTGTCAGGGACCAAACACGGGCCGAGTGCCAAGCTGACCCAGATTCTCAGGCAGGTTTCATATAGAACCAGTGAAAAACTGCTTCCAGCCTCAGATCCAGCAGCTTGTAGAAAGTTCTACAAAGAACCAAAAGTTATGAATCCAAAACTGAATGACTAAATTGAAAACAAGGTAAACTGAAGAACATCAAACAGATGCTAAAATTAGCAAAACAGTAACTAAAAATAGAAAAATGGTAGCTAACGCTAAAATTAACAAAATTGTAGTTAAAAGAAGCTCGAATGTAGCAAAACAAATGCCAATGCAAATATTAGCAAAACTGATTCGAATATTAGCAAAACTAGCTTAAAGGAGCAGAAAGGTAGCTATAAGTATCAAAATGTAGCTAAAAACTAAAAGTAGCTAAAAGCTAAAAGTAGCATTAAAATACAAAAAAGGAACAGATATTTAAAGAACAATATTTCTGAAGGAAATGAGATCTCAATGTATTTTTATGAGGAAAATATTTGTAAATAAAGGAAAAGTAGAAAAGTTCAAGTCTAAAGTCCCAGCAGCCATCTTCTGAATGAGCTGAACGTTTTGATGTATGTCCTGATGCATGCTCAATAATCCAGGTAGAAAAATCCAAAAAAGTTCAATCTGGTCCTCTGGACATTCAAAAAAACAAAAAA